GAATCCTCTTTCAAGAATTCTTTCTCACCTGCAATGGTGGAACTGGAAATGATTTTGGTAGAGTAATGTCACTCATAGGTTCCTTACATTCTATATACTTCTCTTCCTCATGTCTGAAATAGTTATACTTCAAATATTTATATTTGATTTTGGACAGTCAGTTAAGCGAGTGCAATATTTTGAAGCGACACATTGTCGGCCTAGGTACTGATCACTATTGATTGCAACATTGAACATAAATGACTACGTACTTGTGGATCAATCGCCAATCGGATCGGTTAAGATCATCTGCGAATTCATAAACTCCAAGGTTTCGTCCTCGATAGGTCCACTCTCCCCATACTTTACCGCCAAACAACCATCTGTCCATCGCAGGTTGCGCCTACAACGAAGAGGGTAATTACAAATTCCAATACAAAACATATGTTGAAGTTTTTGAATGCTCATGCCTCACCCGAACGATTTTGATGTACGAAGGCTGCGTTGGCCACTTTCGAGCCCATTCATTCTTGGTAACAATACGTCCAACTCCAAGCTGAAAATTTTGGTCCGATTTCATTTCTCAGTAGTACCGTATATAGCATTTCATTTAAGAGGTGATGGTCGCAATGAAGACGAGCGCACCTCGCGCAGCAGTCATCTACTTTTTATGTTTGAGAATACACTAAAAATTAAAGACATAACTATTTATTATAATGAAAAGCTTCGTTTAACTATGCTGACATGATGAAAAAAAACGTTCACATGTTAGGCCGCGGTCATGCTTTGCGACCGACTTGCGCTTTTCTTTGCTGCTTGTGTAAGTACGATAGCAAGGTCGCAAATTGTGAACGCGGTCTTTCGCACATTTTTCTGCCGCAACATTAGCCACGTGACCAGATTAGGATTACGGGTTTCGCGAGTTTCCCTGTTTACTGGGGTTTGAAAGTGAGATGCTAATCCTTCAGGAACTATTTTGGAACCATAACTCAATCTTAAAAGTTTTTTCGACGAAACGCAAAATTCTGTGAGCAATCGATAATATTTGGGTTAGAAATGTAATAGACCCACCTGTCTTAGCTGACACAGAATCTCCCACAGAAATTTCCCCTGCGCATTCACATCATAATTACCAATGAACCGAATGGCGGAGGACATCTCCTGCAAGTGAAGCAAGCGTAACACCACAAATGCTAAGATATATTAAAAATTCCATGGAAAACTCAGGGAAGTCTAATCTCAATTTATAAAAGCAACACCTCCAGAAGAGTTGTGTCAAAGAATCTATTCAGCGTCCACGGCTCAAAATTGCGCGACAATGGTGCTAGGGTCTTACAAAGTCAGCTTTTAGCGACTAATTTTCGCATTAAGACGAGTTACGTCGCACACCCCTATGACACAACCTGGATTACGGTGTAGCAGCTAATTTAAACACGCGCGGGATAGTTGCGCATCATTATTTTGGTCTTCATCGACGATTTTCTTTGCTTCTTTTTTTCATTTTTAGCGCTCTTTCTGCAAACGAGGTTATACGAAAACAATGGAGTTATCTTACACTCTATCTATGATTTGGTTTTCCATATCTCTGAGGGCCAAGAATGACAGGACACACTGCCGTAACCAAACGCCTTTCGCACGCCGTCTGCGATCGGC